GTGTGTGTGTGTGTGTGTGTGTGTGTGTGTGTGTGTGTGTGTGTGTGTGTGTGTTGGGGGATGGATTTAGCTTGTTTTTCTTTGGTGGGAGGTGGAAGTAGGAGGGGTGATCTGGGGCTTAAAACTTGACCTCAGTTTGAGGAGTGATGTTCCTTAGTCACCTCTACTGTTAGGCTGCAGTGAGCGTTTGGTGCTTCTGTTGTCTTCATGCCTCCCCCTGTTGTTTTCCCCCAAGGGTCCTGGCCTGTGGAGTTTGCATCTCCTGTGGGGAGAGCCAGGTCCAGCCAGCAGGCTCACTCTCCAGGATTGACTTGCATTTGGCTCAGCAGCAGCAGGTGTGTGTGTGTGTGTGTGTGTGTGAGAGAGAGAGAGAGAGAGAGAGAGAGAGAGAGAGAGAGACGTGTGCCACCTTAGCACTGTGGCTGCCTACAGTGGCCACAGCTGCCCCGCCCTTGCCTCAGTTGCCCTTCTGCAGGGCTGGGAAGTGCACACGCCCTTGGTTTGCTTCCCAGAGGACTCCCAGCTAATTCCAAAGTTCTTTCTGCCTTTGGGCTTTTTATGGAATCCAGCCTGGTTCAGCCTGGCTTTTCTTTGATCTCTTCCATGCTAGGGGCTTGGGCGTGGGGAGGGAGCTTTTATTGCCTGTGCTGCCAGAATTGCAGGGTTCCCAGCTTCGCAGGTCAGAGTCTGCAGAGTTCCCACTACAGGGTTGGATCTGTGCCCACTCACCTGTCCGCACCTTTTCTCCAGGAAAGTTGCCCCCACCCTTCACCCAACCCCATTAGCTCCCCCTCCATTCTAACTCTTCTTTTCCCTCAGCAACCACCGACTTTAGTTCTTACCTCCTTAGGGGAAGTTTTGGGGCTGTGTAGCTGGGACTAAGTGTCTGCATTTTCCTATGAGCATGTATTCATCTGTTTTTTTTAATAGCTTTTAAGGGAGAGGGTGATTCCAGCCTCTATCCCACCATGTTGTGGGTGGGGTTTGTGGTTGGACTTTGAATTAGTCTACAGACTGGAAGATGGTGAGGTTCACTAGAAATTGTCATCTTTCTGCATCTCACTTTTGAGAACAGTGAAGTAAGTTTATTTGATGATGGAGATAACTCTCCTGAGCTGAATTTGTAGTCAGAATATAAGACATACTGAGAGCATATTATTTTAAGATGATGAATAGCATATTTTTGATGCCCTTGATTGGAGGGCCCGTGGTAGGTGTGCTGTGAGCACAGCCCACCACCTCAGCAGCCTGCCCGGCAGCGTTGGCTTCTTTTGCCGAGTGGCCCTCACAGGTCTGCAGGAATCTGCGTGGTAGTAACTCTGGAACTTGGGTTACAGAAACTACACCTGGGACAGGTGACCGTCCAGGTGGCTGTGTAGAAGAAGGCCCGGGGGACCCCCCACTTGGGCTTTTCCCAGGCTCAGTCTGGAAGTAGCGTCAGTCATTTCTGCTCGTGTTCCACTGGGCAGAACTGACAACTTGACCCGTCCTGAGTGCAAGGGGTTTGCCAGGAGGTGTAGCAGAGCAGTGGCGTTTTTCCTGAGAAGCCTGGCCTCCGTCTCCGTCTCAGTCTAGGGATGTGAGGGAAGCTGGCGGTTGGGTCAAGGATTGACTTGCCTCGCCGAGTGTTAACTTGGAATCAGTGAGCCTTATGTAGGACACAGCTCTGATTGTGATTGAGATAATAAAGCCATAGGAAGGGAAACACACTAGTAGCCCCGGACGGAGAACCACATTTGAGGTGTTTCTTACAGGTGTGCTGCATCTAATAGAACATTTTTATATTGCAGTGTGTGTCTGTAGAATTTCTCCCTTAAAAATACAGAAATGACTTGAGGCAAAACCATTTTGTTAGTAGGAATATACTTTCTTGCAATTCTAAAATTATCGATCATTTTCAGAGACTGAGATTGTGATACCAATAGTGAAAGAACGTTTTCAAGGAATTAATATAATTTTACAATATAGCTAGATGGATACATAGTGGGGAACTGAATGGTGGATCATTTAAGAGGTGTTCGCTAATTGGTATGTGAAAGGTTTGAGAAAATGATTAAACTGAAGTCACTAAGATTTTGCCTGGCTCACAAGCACTTTAAACACTCAATTGTGGCTCAGAATTCTACTGCTGTGCATCTTGTTGAATGCACTTGCCTCTCTGGTACCTTATATACCGGGTACAAAAATAGTGCCTGACACTTTCAAACAGGTGTGCTGCATCTTTTGCTTTAAACTTTCGAACACGTACACATAGATGAGGTCTCCTGTTCCTCGTAGCAGCCCGCCACTCCTTGTACAACGAGGCTTGGGAGTGCGCTGTGCTGGTGCTCAGCACGAGGGGGGCAGGCTGGTACCCTCGAGAGCTGACCTACCTGCCCCTGGCCAGTGCTGCCGTCTACAGACAGTCCTCACAGCTGCATCAGCCATTGCAGAGAATACAGCAGTTCCTGTATGTTAGGTACAATGACTCCTGTTTTGCTGGGTATGGCCCAAAAACCATTTAAAATCATTTTTTTACTCTGATCAGAGCAATCGTTATACATTCCCCTCCCCCCCCCGTTGTGTTTTCTCTTACTATATAGGGAATAAAGGAGATTAGGTCAAAACCAGACAATTCTCAAGAAGGAAGGGACCCACGTTTAGCATAAGCTGCTAAAAACTAGTTATTAAGCAGTCTGTTGGGGGGCAGATGCGAGAGCGGGTATCGAGAGCTCCGGAGACCGAGCTTGCGTCCTGGCTCCGCCCTACTGGCCGTGTTGTTCAGGGCTGAACACTTGTCTTCTCGCATCATCGGTGTGTTATGTTCAAAAAGAGTGAACATCCCTACCCTGCAGGACTGTTGGGAAAATGGCCTGCCCTGCCCTGTTCCTGGTCAGTGTTGTGGGAAGCGTTTGGAAGCAGCTTTCATATTTAGATGTGTTTCTTTCCAGATAGTTTGGAAGAAGAGTCCCATAATCCTGGGCCCTGAAGTCCAACACTTGTGTTCTCTTTCCTTTCTCTTGCTCTTGTTCTAGAGAATGACCACGGATAAGAGTGAGCTGGTACAGAAGGCCAAGCTCGCTGAGCAGGCCGAGCGCTATGATGACATGGCTGCAGCCATGAAGGCCGTCACGGAGCAGGGGCACGAACTCTCCAACGAAGAGAGAAACCTCCTCTCTGTCGCCTACAAGAATGTGGTAGGCGCGCGCCGCTCCTCCTGGCGTGTCATCTCCAGCATTGAACAGAAAACAGAGAGGAATGAGAAGAAGCAGCAGATGGGCAAGGAGTACCGGGAGAAGATAGAGGCGGAGCTGCAGGACATCTGCAATGACGTTCTGGTGAGAGGCCGGTGTTTCTGTTTTCAGTAGTGATTCTGACTAGTATTAATTTAATGTACACATGCACTCTCAAGCAGCTCTGAGAGAAAGGTGTCTGAGTGTACTGGAAAGCTGCAAATTATTTGCACCTAATTTTTTCAGCATATGATGTGATTTTTCTCACCTCTTTATCAGAGGTTGCTCATCGTTTATGGGGTATTTTCCTCTTCCTAAGACCGGTGAGAAGCAGGGATATTTACCCCACATTCCCTCCATCTTTTCTCTAGAAATTTAGGCTCGTAGGCAGGACTTTAGGTAGAGCCGAGAGGTTATGCTACCTGTTAGTCTGCGTAGTAGCGTCATCTCTAGTCAGGGAGACAGGCAGAAGCCGGCCTGCCTTTCCGGCTTAACCTTCTGTCTGGGCCTGTGTGCTGGGCTGGCTTGCGCCCCCCGCCCAGCCTAGTGCTTTTGGGTCCTCTTCCCTGTGTCCCAAATAGTCCGAGTCAGACTCGTGTGCTCACTAACTGCTTTCACACTGGTTGCAGTCTGGGGTGGGTGGGCAGGGCGCGTATCCTAGAGCAGGGCCTGATCACGTGTGTCCTTCCCTCACCTCTTGAGCCCCTCGGGAGCTTTCTTTTTCTTCAGGTGAAATCAGGTAAAAATGGGAAGGCTGCTTTAAAGGACAAAGGAATTCACACTTGGGGATCTCCCGTGCTGGCTGCCTCTGAAGTGCCTGTGACACTTTCTCTGGCAAACCTGTGCGGAGTCATGCCCTCGCTGTCAGCAAAAAATACGGAAACAACTACTGCCCCTGTGTTCTCACTCTGGCTGATTAAACCCCCTCACAACCAAGTTTTCACATCGAGCTGCCCTTTTTTTACAAGACTCCTGGTGTAAGAGTGTCACGGCTAGGTTTGTTGCTGTTGGTAACCTGGGGGGTTGTGAATGGTGTGCCCACTCCTTGGTGTTACATCTGGTACGCAGATGTGGCATGGCATGGAAGCTCCTTAATACCTGCAATGTAGAGCAGCTGTTAAGGGCACCTGAAAGAAGGGTGGGGGGGTCCCCAGATACCATGGTACTTAATTGCCTCTTAACCAGTTTCCAGGATGCCACATTCTAAAGCAGCTCTTCAAAAATATAGCTCTGTATGTGAAGCTAGGACTCTTTCAGAACTGCTTTTGCTGTAAGCATAAATGTTGAAAGGAGCTCATTGTTAATAGTATTGGCTACATTTTGAGTGCTTGCTCCATGCCACGTGCATTAAGCGCTTATGTCCATGGCTCATGGATCCTCAGGGCACCCTCATGTCCCGCTGGAGCCAGGACATCCACGTTCAGGGTGACTGGGTCACTGTCCAGGGCCGTGCAGCAGTACGTGGTGGGGAAGGGGTTTCTGCCCAGGTCTGACTGCCTTGGAGTGCTGATCTTGGCAGTTTTGCTCTGTTGCCAGTTTTCTCCTTCCAGAATGGAAAGATTCTCATCACAGAAGTAACACAAACAAGTTCATTGTTTTAAAAAAGGTGGGGTTGAGGAGATATAAAGTAAAAATCACCTCTAATCCATTCTCCAACCCAAGAGAGCCACTGTTGACATTAGTGACCTCCTCGTTCCCTTGCCTCCGCGCATCTGAATGGTGAAAGAGGATTCGTGTGGTGTTTGCTTGCCCTCTTCAGACCTCCGGTAATGAGTAGTCTGGAGCGGCTGTGCTCTCAGCCCTTCGTGGGGATGGACAGTGATTAGCTGGCCTGGGTCTTGGCAGCAGTTTTTATCTTCAGGAAACTTGACTGAGAAGTGGCAGTATCTTGAGTCTCAGACACAGTAATACTTCCAGAGTCTTAACAGAATGTGAATCATTTTTTAGGAGCTGTTGGACAAATATCTTATTCCCAATGCGACACAACCAGAAAGTAAGGTATTCTACTTGAAAATGAAAGGAGATTACTTTAGATATCTCTCTGAGGTGGCATCTGGAGACAATAAACAAAGTAAGTAAAAATTTTTTGAGCCCACAGCATTGTGCTGACCTGTGATGACAGGGCCAAAGGGTTCACGGACCCTAGTGTATCTCAGAGACAAACATCGGGGACGATACATCTGGGCACAGGCACATGTGATCTTTATCTTGGGGGCTCTTTGGCGACTCTAAAGGTGAGGCCTGAACATGTGAGGTAGCGTGAAGCTGCCCAGCAGGTGGAGAGGCATTCGTCACGTGCATGTGTCACTGAGCCGCTGACGGCTCCAGGGGTGCTCTATTAAGGACCTGCTGTGTGACGAGTACTTTCGACTCTCCTGCATGCCACGCGCGAGCTTAGAGGTTTAGGTGGGCGTCTGATAAGGAAACCAAGACACACACCTTGTGAGTGAGTTGGGGGTGTGAGGTTGGGTCTGTGGACTCAAGTCCGTGATCTTCCTCTCGCGCTGCCATCTTGTGAAAGGCTGTGTGTGTGTCCTGCCGGCTTTGCTAGTCTTGGTCGTAATGATCTTTGTGTGCCCCCCGCCCCCAAGCCTGTAGTGCTGGGCCTTGAGCCGACATTTAACAAATGATTGCTAATGGAATGTAGAGACATTGATCCTTCATTTGATGGGTCATTTGTTGCAGCCCAGCTTGGTAGAGTGACTTGATAGTGGAGCCTCAGTGTGTGATACAACTTTGGCATTTTCACTGTTTATTTTCTCTTTAATATTTTTTTAATACTAACATTATAAATCTTTTTTATAGCCACTGTGTCAAACTCCCAGCAGGCTTACCAAGAAGCATTTGAAATTAGTAAGAAAGAAATGCAGCCCACACATCCGATTCGACTTGGCCTGGCACTGAACTTCTCGGTCTTTTACTATGAGATTCTAAACTCCCCGGAGAAGGCGTGCAGCCTGGCGAAAACGGTGAGACCCTGGGGCCGCCGGTCGTGGTAGCCCTGCTTGTGCCTTTCTAGAACTGCTTTTTACAGGGTGACTATCGATCTTTGTCTTGGACGCTTCCTGGGGGTAGGAATAGATTTCTTATGAACTGTTAACTTTAAATTCCAAAAACTGCGAATTTGGTTTGCTTTGTTTTTGTCCTTTGACTAGTGTTTGGGGCGTGGTCGTAGAAGACTCAGGGTGAAGAACTTAGTTTATTGTTTCCTTGTCAAGCTTGGGTTATAGGCCTGCGTCATGCTTTTTCCTTGTACCTCTGAGGTGGTGACTGTAAAGGTAGGATTCAGGCTGTGTCTGCTTTGTATTTGGCAACCCGACTGCCTGCGTGTTTGTAGTCCTCCTGCTGGCACACTTTCCAGAGTGTCGGAGGTAGACTCTCAGTTCCTCACTAAACCCAGTCACATTGAGGTGTGAGCTCCCTTCATCCCTTGTATTCTGACCTTTCAGTTTCGGGTTTTGTTTTTTTTTTTTTTAAAGGATTACTAGCAAAATTATGTTCGCTTGTTAGAAGAAAATTGGGCTAGCTAGCTCAAACGAACTTGTGAATTCTTTGCTTAAAGGCTCTTTGTTTTAGGCATTTGATGAAGCAATTGCTGAGTTGGACACACTGAATGAAGAGTCTTATAAGGACAGCACCCTGATCATGCAGTTGCTGAGAGACAACCTCACTGTAAGTAGTGCTGGTTTCTGGGGCTGCATCTGGGGGTGTACAGATTTGTTCCTGTTTGCCTCCTTCATAATTAATGGCTGCCCAGAACTGAAGAGGGGGTTGTACCCTATAAAGACAGTTAAAATTTAATTTGTTGAGTTGGTTATCAATGGCTGCCAAAGTTCCCAGCTTTGTAGCCATCACTGTCTGTCGGGCTACAGAAAGACCTGCACCCAGTTGAGTGTGGTGAGGTGAGATGCCACCCACGCGTGGATGGCCGTGGCTCTGCTCTGATCACAGCTCTGTTTTCTCTTGCAGCTCTGGACGTCGGAAAACCAGGGGGATGAAGGAGATGCCGGGGAGGGCGAGAACTAATGTCTATCATGCTTCGTGATCTGTGCACTGTCACTCTGTACCCTCCACATATATCCCTTTGTGCGATAAAAAAAAAAAAAGAATCGTACGTCGACTTTCGATTTTTCACAGCCTCAGCCTAGCAAAAATGGTCCATGGGATGAACAGCTGGTATTTGTAGCTAAAACTCAAGATTGGTCACATAAATGCCACGGCATTCTGGAAGTTTTGATTTTGATTAACATTGACAGGATTACTGTGTGTTTAATTTTTTAAAACTGAACACTGTGATTATGGGGTTTTGTAACTTAGCAGAACTCTTACTGGTAGAAAAAAAATAGATCTGAATTATGTGTAACTTTTTGGAAAGTTCAATCAAAACAGTCTGATATCCAAACAGTCACTGAACTACAGTTCCATTGTAAAGTTGTACAGAAAGTTATAGAGATTATATTGTGACACTGGTCTTGGAGTGAGAGAGCTGTCATTTGGCAGTGGAGTGCAGTGGTCACTCACAGTAGTTCTGCCTGTTGTCCAGGGCGTACAGACACTTGGCCAGTTCGGGCTGTGGCCACTCAAAAATTCATGACCACAGATGTCCACAGTGTCTTCCTCTAAGAAAACTCAAAGGTTGAAATTGGAATTCTTTGCAGATGACTTAGGGTTATGACACCACGAGAAGGTCCAGTGCTCATATCACACACGTGACTAAAATCCCTTTCCTACAGCAATATGTTACTGATTTGCAACTTATGCTTCAGTAGTGGAATCTCTTTTCCCTGTAACCACGAGCTAAAAGAAGAAAAGAGGCCGTGTATTGTACAAATGGCCTGATCTGGTTCCTGGACCATACCTTTAAAAACAACGTTCTACAGAGACTGCCTTTCAGTTGAGGACTTTTCATCAATCCTTGGGTTCTTCTTAGCTCTGGACTTCTAAATTTAGAAATCTAAATTCTTCCCCATGATCTTTCTGACTGCTGACTTTGGTTTTCATGTTTCTGTTCTTCTACTTTACTTTCTCTTCCTTTTGAATTCTGTCTTTAATTCCTTTGACTGATAGTACATGAGCAGGCCGGGGCCTGGAGGGGAAGAGAAGTCAGTGAGCACTTGGATGAGCAGACCTGGCGTCAGAGAGCTGTCTTCCTCCCGTACGCAGCACGGTGGTTGCTCTTCAGTCACACCAACATCTGATCAAAAAAGTATTTAAAAATATCCATGATTTCTTCCTGCATTGCAGCCAGCCCTGATAATGCTTGTTAGTACCTGCCACCTGATCTCCTAAGTCTACTCATCCAGCCAAGTTAGCAGACGTGTTTAAACAAGACCCTATAATGCAGGGAATTTGCATGAACACTGCAATGGGGAGAACCAAGACCAGCCAGGCCTGCCAGTCTCAGCATCCCCCTTCTCCCTTAACATTCCACCTAGCCGTAGTGTCCATCTGTTTGTCCTTCTGCTGAAACGAGAAAAGAAACATTCATGCACTGATTTAAAACAAACCAAAAAAGAAAAAAATGACAAAAAAAATCCCTCTCCTTCCTAGCTGAACAAAAACGTGCAGTTAGTACTTGGCGCTTGAAAACGCAGTAGTGAATGTGGAACGAGCCTGTCTGTATATCTGGTAGCTCTTTCTTGCTTTGTTTTTCCTCACCAGTATTCTGCCTCACGTTTGCTTCTGTGATGGTTTTATTGCCTAGCAAGCACACCCGTGGTTGTGAAAATAGTATAGCAAAAAAAGAAAAATCCCCGGTTATTGATGTACTAGATTTGTGTATGTCTTTTAAACAGTTCTAGTTTCCACCTTACACGGAATTAATCAGGAAAAGTGTAAAAATTCAAAAGTGAAATAAAAAATTTTATGAGTTAGTTGTCTGTGAACTGACGTGTGGCGCCATCTTTGTCACTGCCTGAGCTAGCAAGCTATTCTGATCGCACTTTGGGCTTTATTTCCTTAAAAGTAGGCAGTAGCTTTATTTTCCCCTGGAGAACATCTAGGTCAAAAGGGAGGACGTTCCCGTTCATTAACACACAGCCTCTTTCCACTCACTAACCTGATGCCTCTCTGCTTTCTACAGCCATAGGTCCCTTTTTGTGACAGCTCAGGGTTATAGGGACAGTCTGACTCCCCCACCCTGCTCCCCTTTGTAACACTGACTTGTAACCAAGACAGAAATGATTGCAGAGTTTGGTGACAGGCTCCTCTGTCCTGAGGTACTTCATGGCCTAAAGCACTGTTAACTCAAGGGATTTGCCCCCTTCTAAGAAACATCCACACTTCCACTAGAAAGGAAAGAAAATCAGGAGAGGGGAAGGAATGCAGCCCGGAATTCATACTGGTTAGTGCTTAATACTCCTGTGAAGCTCAAGCACTAATGACTTACCAACAGTTGCACCTGCTGAACTCACACCCAACCAGAGAGACCGGGGGAGTCCCAATGAGAGGTGAGGTGAAACTGGTTCACAGGTTTGGAGGGTTTTTGATGCCCCTACACTACTGATGAGTTGGGGAGGGGGGGTCCTGCGTTGCAGATTGGAGGCAACAGGGCCTTCCTGTTAAGTGCCTGCAGCTAAGGGTGAGTGAGCCTGTGTGTTGAGGGGTGGTGAGAAGGTTTGGTAATCCAAGAGCTGGTGCCAAGGCCTTGGTGGTTTCGAATTCTCGAACTCGGTGCCTTCCAGATCACACCCCCGGTGCAGACGGTTGGAGCCGGGTTATCTGGAGAGCGGGAATGCGTAGGGCTGTGAACTGTTCCACGTGAAATTTGCACAGGATTCAGTCTCTAACCCGTGCGGAAAAGGAGCTCGTCCGCCTTATACAGGGAAGGAGCACGGGCCCAGAGTCAACGTTGACGGGTGGGGTCAGAAACATCCCCCAGCTGCGGCTTCTGGAGCGCGGTGGGGTCGCAGGTGGGAGCGATTGGCGCGCGGGCCGGTAAAGGGCGGGCCTGGGGCCGGAGGGGCGCCTTGCGCGCGGACGCCGAGGGGCTCCGGGCCCGTCTGCCGCCGGCATGAACGCCAGCGGCCCAGGCTATCCGCTCGCCTCGCTCTACGTGGGCGACCTGCACCCCGACGTCACCGAGTCCATGCTCTACGAGAAGTTCTCGCCCGCCGGCCCCATCCTGTCCATCCGCGTGTGCCGCGACGTGGCCACCCGCCGCTCGCTGGGCTATGCCTACATCAACTTCCAGCAGCCGGCCGACGGTGAGCCCGGGAGGGGTGCTGCCTGCCGGACGGACGGGCGGACAGACAGACGGAGCGCCTGGGGGCGGGCGCGGACGGCTGGCGCCGGCCATCCCCTTATCATCTCTGAGGGCGCCTGCACCTTACATTTGCAGGCGGGGAAATAGGCACTGAAAGGGTCTCGCCCTGGTAGGCTGCAAAGATGGAAACGGGATCCGTGTGCACCCACTGGGCGTTTCCTTAGTGCCCCTTTTCACAGAGGAAACACCTGCGGGCGAAGTGAAACCAGCCGCGGCTTGGCAGTCACGCCGCCCTGAGATTAGAATGGCAGCAGCTGTGACTTGGGGCAAACTACTTAGTTGCTTTCCACAAAAATTGGGGGGGGGGGTTGGGGGGAGGTGCGGGTAAGACCTGCCCCACAGGTGTTTGGAAGGATGAAAAATCCCAAGCACCCGTGAGGATGCACAGTCCCAGCAGGTGGGGGTGGTTAACACGAGAGCCGACCTTGAGCAAGGCCCTTTTCTGGTAGTCAGCTGCCGCCAACCTGGCGACCCGTTTCTCGCAGAGTTGATAGGCTCCATTCGAGCTTGTCAGGTGGGCGCGTTGAATGAGGAGGGTACAGGTGCCGAGCACCAGGGTGTGCACCAGCTCTCCTCTGAAATGGCGGTAAGGCTTATTCCCCAGTGGACCGGGAGAAAGGCGTGCCAGGTCTCCTGTGAAGCGCTCAGTGTGCGGTAAGAAAAGGAACGGAGACCGTAAGGTTCAGGGTAGCCCAGGAACGGCCTGTTCCACCCAAGGCCAAGAGAGGGCGCTCTTGCTCTGAGTCTGCTGGGTGGCTGGGGAGGTTCCCTGAACGGGGCTTTGCCAGCCCGATTCTCTCTGTAGCTGATGGAGCTGGCTGCCAGCCTGTCTCCCTCTTTGCTCTGCCCTACCCACCCACTGCCTCTCCCACCCTGAGCGACAAGACCTTTTTGCCATATTTCATGGTAGGGGCAACAACTCCTGAATGAAGGATTTTGCTCTGGGGATTTATGGGGGGACTAGATGGAAAACCCAGACCTCCTGCAGCTTCCCTGAACTCTGCACGGATCCCCTTTCTGCCTCTGAAACAAGAGGTGTCCCTGAAGCTGGGACAGCACGTTACCTAGGAGGCACAGGTTGTCACAGTGGCAGTAGATGGCTCAGTCTCAAGACACAGCCATTGACTAGTTACTTTTGTGCCAGGCATGAGCACAAGGAACCTTGTACCGTACCGAGTTTTCTCCCTGCCTGGACCCAGAGGTGGTCCTTTTCCTTTGTTTGATGCGCAAGGGTGACGTCGTATCAACGTCCTTACTTGACAGTGAGGTCGCCTCCCCCAAAGCCACTCTGCTTGGAACCCGGCTCAGCTCCTCCGCTGACCCTCCTTGGCATGTTGATGTGTGTTCCGCATGCTTGCGTGACCACAGTAGACCTGGGCTCTGCGACTCATCTTTCTCCTTCCCGAGCTTCAGTTTCCCCTTCTGTAAAATGGGGATGGCAGTCCTGTTCTGTTGGCTTCCATGAAGTGTTGAGTACGGTTCTAAGGGGAAGGTGGGAGGAGTCGACAGACATGGACTCTCTGCTTGAACTGAGCACCTTCCGCCTCTTATGTAAGACCCTGGTTGTTAACGGTCTTGGGGCAAGAGAAGGGAGAGACAATCCCGTCAACCTGTTCTGTTCTCCCACCATCCTCCTGTCCAGCGGAGCGGGCACTGGACACGATGAACTTTGAGGTGATCAAAGGCCAGCCCATCCGCATCATGTGGTCCCAGCGAGACCCTGGGCTGCGCAAGTCAGGTGTGGGCAACGTCTTCATCAAGAACCTGGAGGGCTCCATTGACAACAAGGCCTTGTACGACACCTTCTCTGCCTTTGGGAACATCCTCTCTTGCAAGGTGGGTGTGCCTCTTGGGACTGGGGGCACCTGTCCATTCCCGAGTGGAGGAAGGGTGCCAAGCAGCAACCCACGCTCCAGTCCCCCAGTCTTCAGTTCAGCACCGAATGCTGGTGGTGGTTCCAGTTTTCCCTTCCTAGGCTCATCAGCGTCCTGTGCACCCACCAGCCCTTGCTGGCTGCTAGCAACACCATTCATTCTGCTCAGAATTGTTGCTTGGGGTGGAGCTGGGCTCCTTCCTCAGCCCTCTGCGAGCCGGTCAGCTTGGCTGCTGGTCGGCTGTCAGCGGAGTGTCTCGACTTTCCTCCCGTGCTCTGTCACCGTCCAACAGGGAGCCCAGGTGTCCTGGCAGCAGCAGGGTCCAGGCAACAAGTGTGGAAGCTCACCCAGGCCTCTTGGCACAGGCCTGAGCACAGGCCTGGCACACTATCACTTTCTCACCATTCTGTTGGCCGAAGCAGGTCTCAAGACCAGCCCAAATAAGTGCGAGAGGGCACTAGATATTGCAGGGCAAGCCACGAAGACAGGAAAGCCCTCAAGATGGTGGGCAGCCACACCTTGCCTTTAAGGTTTCTATTATAATAGAATGTAAGCTCCGTGAGGGTACAGGTGTTGCTCACCATTGTATCGTAGTACCTAGGATAAGACAAGGACATCCAGTAAGTGCTTAAGAAATATTTCTTAGCAAATGGCTGTAGTAGCCCTTGAAGGGTGTTAGTCATTTTTTACTTTGTCCATGAGAATCCTGAAGATCAGACTAGCTGGTCAGCCGGTCCTGACCGCAGGGCTAGCGCTGGGTATTCTGCATCTAGGCTTACTGAGGTTGGCAGTCAGTTGCCCTGCAGTCTTCGGCACCTGCACCTTCCGGGGGTGTGATGGCGTCCCCTGTGTGCAACTGCAGTCCTTAAGTCCTCATTTAGGCCTCCCACCCCCTGCGAATGAGGAGGTAGCTCTGAACTCAGAGGAGCGAGCACACTTGGAAGGCACAACAGCTCTGGGCTCCCCGTGGTCGGCCGAGAGGGGTATTTTTCATCTTTGAGGGTCAGTGGAAGAGAGATTAAGAGGTGCATAAGTTCCTGAAATCCACAGATTTTTGACGTAATTCGATGGATCAGGTTTTTCTGCCTTGATTTCCCATTAAGATGTACACAGACGGACTCCTGAATTATATCTGAAGGCAGAGAGGCTCAGTTGGGGTCACTTGTCCACTTGTTTTGGGAGTGGGAGGTTAGTAGTAAGGGAGTCAGGATCTGACCAGTGGGCCGTCCAGCGCTGCTGAGTATGCCTGTCCCCATTTTCCAGGTCTTGAGGCTTCCTCTGAGCCACTGAGTTATGTACAGAAAGTTCTAGAGACTCGGGCAAGTCTTGGCAGGCCTGCCGAGGCCCTGTTAGGTACAAGCTGGTTCCCCCAGGTGCTCTCAGGCTGGGTGGAGATGGGTGTGACTGTTCGGAAGAATCACACATTGGTCTCTGGCTTAATGACTCAGACAGTCAGAGCAAGGAAAGGTAGCCCTGTGTGGCTACTCAGGCTCGGTTCCTGTAGCACTCGGGCGGGGCACTTGACCTAGAGCCAGGCTCCCGGGGTGCAAAGCCCAGCCACTGAGCGCAGGCGGCAGAACATGGTCATTCTGACCCAGGGCCTGGGGCCAAAGTCCTGGGTTCAAGTCCTGCCTCTTTGGCTTGCTGGCAGTGTGACCTCAGACCCCTTATTTATTTAACCTCTGCACCCCAGTTTCCTCCGAAGGGGGATCATAGACAGCCAGCCTCAGGGTTGATGTGAATGTCTGTTCATTTGGTAATCTTCCCCTCACACTATCCCTTAAAAGGTACCAGCTCCTGTTAAACACCTTAAGCGGTAGCTGAGATGATCTAAAGGTCAGGTCTGCTGCCTGGCTGATCTCGCGCGAGTCATTTATTTCCGCTTCCTCCATTGCACAGCTGGTGTGCAGAGGTTAAGACGTGCCTGGAAGGGTTCTTAGGATGAATATAACAAGATGAGCATATGATGCCTCTGGAAGGCGAGCGTGCACCCATGTGCATGTTCTGATCAGAGTGTAAGAGCTGGGGCTTCAGTTGAAGGTAGAGGAAGCCTGCTTGGAGTGGAGGGGTGTTGGGCATAATTAGGAAGCAAGGCTTTTGTTTGAGGACTCTGTGTTCAGTTCGAAGACTCTCCCTCCTTCTTTGTGATCTTTTTTTAAGATTTATGCATACAGAGCTGGGGCACAGGCCAGAGGTGTGGGGGTGAGGGGATTCACCAGAGACAGAGTGGGGAGCAGAACAGGCAGATAGACGAAGCACACTGCTGAGGGGAGCAGCGCGCGGGCCAGGAGAGGTCTGCCGGCCATGTGGGTCACCTCCGGGGCCGGGGATCGAACTCGCACTGAGGCAGCTGCAGCCAGCTTCTCAGTGCTGCGCTTTGACCCGCTGCGCCAGCAGGGAGGGCCTGCTGCTCTGTGATCTTTAGCAAATGGACTGAGCTCTCAGAGCTTTAGTTTCCCATCTCTAAAATGGGGCTATTGTGACACCTGGGACATGATGCATAGTCACCTCTGCCTTTGAACCCCATTGGACAGCCCTCCCTGTCCTCCTCCCTGTGGCCCAGGTGGTGTGTGACAGAAATGGGTCCCGAGGCTTTGGCTTCGTCCACTTTGAGACCCGTGAGGCTGCACGGCAGGCTATCGACACCATGAACGGGATGCTGCTGAATGACCGCAAAGTGTGAGTGGCCTGAGGGGATGGGACCGGCCGCGGGGACCATCACAGCGCAGGGGGGCACTGCTCCTGCTGTCTCAAGGGGCTCCTGGTGCCGAGCAGCGTCCTTCCTGGCGGGGGCCCTTGGCCTCTGCCGGGTTTCTGAGGACGCCCTTCCCTGGAGTGAAGACAGGGCTGCTGACTGGCGTGGGAGGGCTGTTTGCAGCAGTAGCTGCAGCGAGGACAGCCGTAAAGTTATGGCAGGGAGCGCTAGTGATGGACTCACCGCGGACGTGGTGATGTCCAGGCTGTGTGGCCGGGCTGTGTTGTTTCACGGGCGCTTAGGCTGGCAGAGAGCAGGCGTCACCTGCCATGTCCGTGCGGGTAGGTTTGGTGTCTTCCCTGCCTCACAGATGCGAGGATGGACATGCAGAGGCTGCAGGCAGTCTGGACTGGGAGCCCCTGGCCTCTTCTCAACTCCCCATCTTGAGGCCCAGCCCTGAGTTGTGGAGAAGGGGGTTGTGAGCTGCGGGGGCCTACTCCCCAGCGAAACCGAATCTTGCGAAGCCAGCTCTGCAGTGCTCCGAGGATGTCATCTTTGTCAGATGAGTGGCCCAAGCTCCCTTTCGCCACTGGGCTCGCTTCATAGAGATACCATCGATTTTCCTAAGTTTGATTTTGCTTTTTCCTTAATCCAGGATGCTGTTCTACATGATCTACATAAACTGGGAAATTTGAACACTTTCTATTTTTTTTTTTTTGAAATATTTATTTTGTGTAGAAGACCTGGGGTACAGCCCAGCGGGGTAGGGGATGCGAGGACTCAACCAGAGACAAAGTGGGGAGCAGAACAGGCAGGTCTACTGAAGTACACTGCTGAGGGGAGCAGTGGCAAGACAGGAGAGGTCTGCCGCGCCATTGGGTCAGCTCCCTGGCCAGGGATCGAAAGCAGGACAAGCAGGACATGGAGGTGATGGTGCTGAGATTTAACCCCTCGGCCACCAGGGAGGTCCTCAAACAATTTCTAATACTGATTTTGTGTTTAGATTTCGGGCTCTCCCCCTCAGCAGCCCCACCAGGGCGTCCCCAGGGCACCTCTCGGAGCTGAGTGAATAGGCCCGTCCCTGGGGTGTGAGTTCACCCCCAGTTTTACAGGAATGAGCAGAGGTTCACAGAGGTTGAATATCTGGCCCAGGGCACGGAGCGGGGCTTCGGAGGAGTCAAGCCCTGGTCTGTGTGATCTGCGGGCCCACGCTTCTGTGGCTGCCTCGTGTTCGGGAAGGAGTTCCTTCTTCCATCTGCCATTAATAGACTTTTTAACCTTTTGCTGGAACATGGGCTTGTGGCTGGTGGGAGCGGTTTGGCCTCGAACACATTCTACTGAGGGGCGTCGCCCTGCCCAGTCCTCCTAACGGGCAGATACAATGGCCCAGGGGGCCCAGGATTGCCAAGCGGGCACAGGGCAGGGCCGCAGCTGATGGCGGCAGTCGCCTACCTGTCGGTGTGTCCACAGCTACGTTGGCCACTTCAAGTCCCGACGCGAGCGAGAGGCAGAGCTGGGGGCTCAGGCGATGGAGTTCACCAACATCTACGTGAAGAACCTCCATGCGGACGTGGACGAGGGGGCCCTGCAGGGCCTCTTCTCGCCGTTTGGTGGGCACATTCCCCAGAGGAGGGCGGGGGCGCTTTCTCTCCTCCGCCCAGGGGCTTCCCGAGCATTTGTGGGGAGGAGGGGACCAGCGCTGGGCTTCCCAAGCTGCCCTTTGAGCCCAGATGGTCCTTCCCAGGGAAGATGCTGAGTGTGAAGGTGATGAGGGACAGCGGCGGCCACTCCCGGGGCTTTGGCTTTGTCAACTTCGAGAAGCATGAGGACGCCCACAAGGTAGGAGAGCCTCCCGGTGGCCATGCTCCTTGGAGGAGGTGCTGAGCCGGGACTTGGCGAAGGGGGTCAGGAGAAGTGCGCTCCAGCCGCCCCGCAGGGAAGGGGCGTCCTCGCCCAGCCTCACGAGCCAGGGCCTTTCCTGCCTTAGCCTCCTTGGTTGCTTTTTTTTTTTTTTT